CATCCCTCATAAAATTCGTCCCAATTACTTCATTAGGAGAGCATAAGCATGACATTAATAACCATAATAAACTTGTTCCAATTCATAGGGCGTGCCAAATAATTACAAANCNAACAAAAATCGGCTTATTAGTCTGTATGGTAGACTTATGTGACATGTATAACTATAAACTTCCATAACATGAATTTCATTAAGTTAATTCATATTCATTCATCGATATCAGTTTAAACTCAAGACATTACGAGTATGTANACGAAGAAAACTATTTCAGTTGGAAAACAAAATAGGCCTCAGAGATCTTGGTGGTTCAATATCATCACTGAAGAATTTCTTCATCAAGAGTAGCAAATATTTTGATTACATCACTGGCCAAAACCAAAACATATTTATAAATCAACCACAAAAACTTTCAAAAACCAATAAAACACAAAAAAGAGCATTGATGATGATGAGTCAAAAGTAGATGGTAAATAATCACATTTTTTATTCATTGGGAATCCGAATGATTTTTTTCATCACTCTCACCATCATNAACAATAAAAAATCAAATCTTCACAAATTTCAAACGCTAAAACCAACAGATCTAATTATTAACAGAATAATAAAATACGAGAATTNGATTCGAGAGATTGATAGATATGTATCTGCCTAATCACCGAAGATTCTTTTGGAAATAAACAAAACACTCGGAACTTAAGAGGCAGAGCAAGCTCACGGAGGTAACGTAAGCTAACCGGNGAACAATAATCCATCATCTCTTTTGCCTAACGATAGATTCCTTGATCGATTACAAAACGAATTTTGTAGATCAAGCAATTGCAAATTAGGCTTTTCTAATTCCAAAACCGATTAAAAACTAAGCAATTGAAATAGAGATTGCGAGAAAAACACAAAATCCAAAGAAAATAAAGATCAGTTGACTAATCTATGAATCCTAGAAAATATTTGCGCCGGAGAAACAGAGAAAATTGATTTGATATCAGTAACTAGAGAAGATGAGGATATATATACATCGAGTGTTCAAGAGGTGGACTTCGAAAACCCTAGTTCTTAAGGCCGTCATAGTTATGTATGGGCTAACAATAGGATTTTACATCATTTATTACAAGCCCATTACTGTAGGCCCATAATTATGATAAAAGGTAATTACTATTATTACCTTCGTACTTACCCATCTTTATCTTACTAAAACAGAAGTCATTCAGAAATTGTGAGAATAACACATGTCATTCCCTTATTATTTTTTAAATACAATTAATCTCTTATTTATTTTTTGTTTTATTTTATAAAAAAAAAACAAAATTTGTTCGCGATTCTCTCTGTAACCTACAAACTCACGTTCTCCTTCTCTAACTCCCCACGATTTCGACTACTCACCATCTTCAAAATCCTCATGTCACAATCGGCAACTTCATCTTTACACAACTATGAAATTTTCAAAAGGAAATTAAATCTATTAATCTTCACTCTACATCTGTTTCTTCAATTTTACCCTATTTTGTATTCCAATTCTCACTTAGAATTGAACCACGATTTTTCTCTTGATTTTTCTCAATTCTCACGATTTCGGCCTCCGTTTCTCCCTCATAAAACATCTCCTAATTCCCCCTCTTTTTTTTGTGTTTGAGCTATTTCAAGAGATTTTATAGTAAGCAATTCAAATACTAATCATCTCTCATACATTGAAATTGGTTATCACAGTGATTGTGCTTTTTAACTCGATAATTTAGGGGTTTTGTGGT